CCCAAATGATGAAGTTTTGAGAGAAGTGTGAGTTTAATGAATTACACATCCAGAGCAACAGCTTTCAAAGCTACAGGTTCCTTCAGAATCTGCATGCCAAATAAGTCTATACAAACAAGTTTTGTTAAGATTTATATTTGAAAAATCTTGTCTACTGAGTTCCTACTGAGTTCCAATAGAATTAAAGTCAGATGGAAAGATTTTATTTTTACCTCCAAAATGTTATTGGAAAAGACCTTCTAACTGGGGGGCAAAAACTTCACTTTTTTTTTTCTTTTGTTTTTTGGTATGGATCACCCGATATTCAAAAACTCAATGAACCACCGACTAATTCGAATTCGAATTGGGCAAAACTCAACCAGTGACAAAATTCTCCCGCATGAATTTTAACGGGTTACAGTATTAGAGTTGGTACTTGGTAAAACCAAATCAAACCTGAGGGACCGTGCTAGGAGAAATCCAACCATTTTATTGATGAACCACTTCTACAATAAAAAAAGAAGAGGAATCTCAACCATATGATACAAATACAAGACTGTAAATACGGTATGGGTTCCTCAGTTATCCAAAATCTATTGACAAATGATATCTGAAGACTCAAAAATCAAATATGCTTAGAGGAAATGCAGAGATGAGGAATAAATAGTGTTTTGGAGGGCTAGTTGAGGCTGTCAGCAGGCGCGTGTGAAGGAGGCTGTGCAAACTTTTTGACTATTGCAGCCATGTACTTTCCTTGATGCTCGGCAAGGGCCAGCTCCATTTCACTGGGTACCCTCGTGCCATCACCAGAGAAAACTCCTGCACCATATGCGGACCCTCCACGAATTGATTCCATTCTGAACATTCCAGAACCAAAGGTGTAACCAATTGGAACATAAAGCATCCCGTGGTGGACTAACTGAGTGATTGCTGTCCAGCTGCAAAGTAGATAGTGATGAACTAATTGAAAAACGTCATAAAATAACCATTACAAGTACATGTAAATGCTCAAATCCTAACTAATCTTCATCGATTTCACAAGATCATACATTAACAATCATAATAAATATCTGACAGTTATGCATAAAGACAGATTAACGAATGCCAATAAAAAATTCGTTCATAGTCAATAATGTACCATATTGATGTCAGGATTACTTGGCCTGGCATCGTCAATAGGGATGACATATACACCCATGGCACTATCCGTCCTCTTGACATCCAGTACAAATTCCAAGTAGACAATTTCTTAGATCCAATGATAAAAATGATTTTTTAGGGATGATTATGAGAAGAATGGTTGAGAAATGTTTTGCTTTTGACAAAATAAAGGTAGTTTGTGTTAAGCTTTCTACCTATAATGCTTATGAAGTATGCTCTGCATTATCATCAAGGTTTAAATGCCAAAAGAGCTTCAAAGGTTAGAAGCCCATGCTATCAGCAATATAGGCTTATGTTCTGAAGTCCATATTTTCATTAGTGTTAAAATATGAGAATTAAAGCCTGCATACACACATGCACACACAACGTTCTTCTTTTCTGAATCATAAAATTGTCAGTGCACTTGATAACTCAACACTCAAATTTTGGTATCAAAGTCTATAAATATATTTTTTGAAAATTTCCCCTTGTTAGGTGAGTTCAGGGTAATTACTCACTATGTTTAATATCCATTTTTTTTTTTCAGTTTTTGATATCATACTCTTAAAATCTCATGTCATAATTAAAGATGCAAGACCAGACTCTGCTCAAAGAAGCATCCATGAGGACCACTGAAATCTAAAAACCATTTATGCCCAAAGCCTAAGAGCTGTCTGACTGCCGTAACTGCAATTGCAGAGTAAAGACTTCAATTTCATATGAGTAAAGAGGTCCAAACTCCTAAGTTCCAGTCCACCCACCCAAATAATTTGGACATCAAAAGAGTTATGGAGGGGTGTTCCTTGAGGTACAAAAATTTCTTAGTGAATTATTCATGTACCAACATACTGTTTGAATTTAAATGTTAGAGAACCCGACTTAAACCAAAGGATTAAAAGTTTCTTATAAAAAAAATCTAGAAACTGCTTCTAATAACATCAAGAGCATGGCAAGAATGTCAACAAACCACGTGATCGACAATCACATCATATCCAAACTATCCCTAGCAATTATTAACTTAAATATGAGTGGAGGCAAGTGTAATGTTTCTGTAAAGACCCTCATGCTAATCTATTGACGACATCAGCACATGGACAAGGTACAGGGCTGCCACATAACTGATAATTTCCTTGATAATTTAGCCTTCAATTAATCTGTTTTTGAGAAACAAACAAATGCATCAAGAACATAAGACTCAGACCAACATATCTCACAAAAACAATCAGCATCAACCATCAACTATCAACCAGATACTAGTTCTTGAAATTATAAAAAATGTAAAAGCAAGATCAAAAGCTATACTCACGCAGTAGTCTCTTGGCCACCACCTTGCGTCCCCGTACTAACAAAGAACCCAGCAGGCACCCCTGCAAGCTTCTGCTGCTCCCACAACGGAAATGTAGAATCAAAAAACGCCTTCATCTGACCTGCCATGGACCCAAACCTTGTTGGGAACCCAAACAACAACCCATCAGCCTCCACCAATTGATCAACTGATATCACAGGCACATCATCCCCCTTTGGGGGCACCCTCATCTGCTCCAAAACCTCCATTGGCAGCGTCTCTGGCACCCTGTACAGAACCCCTTCAACCCCATCCATGGAATCCACCCCTTTCTTCACTCTTCTAGCCAGAATCTCCACATGGCCATACATTGAATAAAAGATTATAAATATCTTCAGTCTCCTGGCAGCTCGGAGGCTGCTGTTTCGAACTGGGATCGTCGTGTTTGTCTTTTGGATTGTGGTTGCTGTTGGGGTTGGGGATTCAGGGGATTCATCAGGGGCAGGAGCAGGAGCGGGAGCAGGAGGAAGACTTTCCCTTCGTGCGTTGGGAAGAACTTGACCCGGTACACTAACGGGCAACTTTTTCTTGCTCGGACCACATCCACCTCCTTTACCCATCAAAACCCAGTATTAAAATCCCTGAATCCAGATGAACCCAGAAAAAATTTTGTAGCTTTAGCGAAGGAGGCGTGTTTTCAGTTAATTTTCTACTTGGGAGTTGACCAGTTCTTAGCTGTTGGTCGGTCCCAACTGGCTGAGATTTCGCTGTCAGGACTAAAAAAAGAGAAAATTCCATCCCTATACCTCCAGTACTCCCATGAAAAATTCATCAATAAACAATAATAACCCAACTAGGAAACTGGCTTTCCAAAACCCCATTAATGGGAGCTGATTTCTGTGTGATGCCATTCCAGCATCACCTCTTCCATTGATTTTTTTTTTGCGGCCAAACCCATTTTTCATGTAAAACTAGAAAACAAAATACTTTGCAGTGCGACACTAATATTTTTGGACTAGACGTAATTCTTTTTGGTTCATCTAACAACAATGAACTATATAAAAATGTATAATTTCTTTATTTTTTAAATTTTATTTTATTTGACTTAAAGTTTAAATTTAAAATTTTTAATTTAAAATCTTAAAATTTTAACTAAACCAACCTTAAGATGGATTAGGGACTCAATAGTTATATTGAATTTTAAAATCTTAATTTTTTAATTATTAAACCATTTACATTAAGGATTTAAAAACTATGTTAAACGCTTGATCTAGATTTCAAGAATATATTTTAATAAAAATTAATTTTTTTCAATATATTAAGTCAATAAATATTTTTTTAAGATCATCCTAACAGAAATTGATGTCAAAGTACTCCCTGACCCAAAGAAAAAAAAAAAAATCTTCTGTTGGAAGACAAAATACCAAACTTAACTTAAAAATCATATTTTTTAGGCCCAAAAATTGTTGCCATTCTACCGCAATTAGTGGGACATGACGTGATCCCCACACATATTTGCAGGGGCAAGTCGACCGAAAATTATAGACATTTTAAATTTCCTCATTTTTTTTTTCCATTTAATTTGATGATGATACAGGTTGCGAAATTATTGGTAATGAAATGCCATGTTGTTCATGTCTGCCATTTTTACTTGTCAACCAAACACATGATGAAGGTGAAGATAAAGGTGCGTTCTTACCCCTAGGAAAAATCAAGATAGACCTCGTCGTTAACCAAAAGTCATATTTAGTTGGTAAAAATAGTTATCCCTTGAAAGACAGTGCTATATAATTTTTTTTATATCACTTTTTAATATAATTTTTACATATCATTAAATGAATAAATATATTTAATATCACGAATTTTACATAAATAAAAAAAATTAATCATTTAAATTATACATTAAATTGTAATAAAAAATAACATAAAAAAATTATCCTAAAATCATTTTTCTTTCTTGAATCTTGTTAAATTATAAAAAAAAAACTAAATTAGAGAAATTTTCTTCAAAATAGAGGAATAGCTAAATTTTGATATTCATAATTTTCTATTAAACTAAAAATGAATGTGAAATATATACTCCTTTATTTTTCAAGAAATGGATACTTCATGATTATTTGTTAATGCAAAAAACAAATTAGACATCAAAGCTTAATTTTACCAGTTTTTTATGGAAGTTTCTTAATTTTAACTTGTTTTTATAGTTTGATTAAAGAATAGACATTACCATCAACCAAACAAGCCCTAAGAGTGGAAATATTAATTAAGAGCTCATTGAACCTAGAGAAACTATTGCAGGAACTAAATACAACTTCAATCATCAATTTTTCTACCAATTTAAAATCAATCAATGCATGATACTCAAACACAAACATGAAAACTTCACTTACACAGCCACAGGTCAGCAGAAAAAGAGAAAGAGAAAAGCCTTATGTTGCAGCACTCACAGGAACAACAGGCAAAAAGCATGGAGATGATATCCCTTCAAGTGGCCTTGGTTTACAGAAGGTTGAGCATCCCCCAATGGAAATCTTGGGTGGAAGATTGATATTCTTTGAAACTGAAAAGGATATGAACGAGAATCTTCTCACCCTAGCTTCAATGATGAGGTACTTTTGGATCTCTTCAACTCCCAGGGTGGTAGGCAGCCTTTATAGTGGGAGTGCAGAAATAGTGAGGACATCGACACTTCCCTCTGGGGTAGAGGCAGAGGCATTGAGATTGATGACAGGCAACTAAAGGCACTTCTCAGTCTCCTCTTTTCACTGTCACATCCTTGTACGTTGGGGTCGTGGTGGACGGCAGAAACTTTAAGGGCCTCTGGGAGAATACAGTTGCATAGTGAACCTGTAAGACATAAGAGGCATTGTGAAGGACTAAAATGACATGGAAATCCATCTCAAGTAACTTGTAATGCACCTCTAAGCCATCAAAGTGAAGCACGAAAGATTTGGGATTCAATCATCCTCTGAATTGACAAAAAAATTTCCAGTCCAAAGTGTTGAAGGCACATGACATGAACCAAAGTTTATGAAATATATGACTATACCTATTCTTGCAAGCCGATTCACCCATTTTGGTATCCAGTTCCCTGTCAGCTTGTAGCAGATATCCTCACAGAAATGGTTGCAATTCTTAACAATCAAGTGATATGTATCACCATTATAGTTTAAAGATTGGCGCTCCATGAACGCTCTAACTTGGGCAGGATCCAAGCATGTTGTCCCCATAAATATTGACCTCCTAAACTTGAAGCCTGGGCATTGCCGCGGTTCAACCTCAAAGACACCACTTGTTGGGTAGTCATGTGCTCCAAAAGCATATTCTATGCCATAAACTGTAAGCATGCACAGGAATAATAAGAAAACCTCTGCAACATTCTGAAACTTATTGAGAAACTACAAAAACTATAGACACTATATTTCAAATGGATTATTTTCTTTTATACTGCCAATCTTCAAGTTGATTCCATTTCTGATACAGATTATCCACTGTGATTACATACATAAGCAAGGTGTTTCTAGTGTGCCCTTAATTGGGAGGTGAACCATCAAAATATCATTTAATCTAAGATTATTATCAGCACAGCTTTGTACCAAAAGAAACAGGTAGAGAATCAATGTTGATGAAAATTATATAACAAAAAATCTATGTGTACCTTCCACGCCAGTATGAAAGATACCAAGGCCTGCCCAATAGACATAGCCATTGACTGTTGTTAAGTCATACACGTTTAGGTAGACAGGAGTGTTGCCAGGGTTTCTCCTGGCTGACTTTACTTTTTGGAACATGCTGTGAGCAGCTGACTTTCCTCTGAAACGAAGTGGCATAAGAGACTGCCAGCCATCTATTGGTCGTGTTTTCATGCTCAAGGGTGAAACCAGGAATTGATCAATACCTAGCTCCAACCTGCAAAAGCAGAAATAAAATTCTAAATGTAAGCATGCAACATTCTTGGTCAGTGTCACAGTCAGAAATGAAAAGAGGAAACAAATTATAGAATTCATCTCATCATAAACTAGCTTTATGGTGACTCATAATATCTCTTCTTTCACTTTTCCTGTTTGCCTTTACAAAGGCCAATAATATTTTATCTAAACCAAGTATGTGGAAACCTCATAATGGCAAAGCAAAAGGAAGCTTAAGATGCCACAAGGGTGACTTATTATATACACCCACATCTTTGGCAAACAACAATGCCAAATAATGCACACATATGGAGCTCTGATAATTGAAGGGCTTTAGAGCCACAAAGATGAAATGACTAAAATATCAACTTTGACCATGAATACGTGCAATATAGCGTTGACACACATTACAAATTGCCATGATTTGTGCATCAGAACTTGAACATCAGTGGGCTCTTTCTCGGTAATTTGGCCAAAAAAGTCTTTACATAAATTACAAGCATAAAGATTTTGCTTAAATTAAAGGCTCTGATCAGACCTACACCAACCTTATCAACCCCATCTGGGATAAGGCTCAGGAAAACATAATGAGAACAACAAATTCTATCTTCTTCGACAAGCTAAATGTTTCTTGTGAGACACAGAGTACAAAGTTAGGGAAGTGGAAACTGCTTTCTTTCTAATTTTGTCGGTAAGACCATCCATGGATCTAGTAACCTATTATATTTTCATGAATAAAATCTGAGGCAATTCTCTAGATTTCATCATAAGTAAAAGAAAGATACTGATTTTATGTTTTCCAATTTGTGTAAGCTTTTATAGCATGCATTTTTAGAACTTAGAAACTCAACCTACATTTTGATTCTATTTGAGATCCACCATATCCAAGGCTGCATCTATCCACTACATCATATTTTGACCTCAATTCTTCAACAAAAATTTCAAATTGCATCATCTTCTCTTCTCTATTGGTGTATAAATTACCCAAGATCACCAATAAAACAAAATGCTTGGGAAAACATGAACCCAGCTAGAGAATACTGATAAGCTCTAGCATAAAGAAAACATTACTGAAGCTAATTTACATAGAGAAAACAGATCAGATTCATAAGAAAATACCCATAAAGAAGAAAAACTTAAAAGGGGAAACTGAGTAATGAACCAAGTGGTCCTAAACAAACTTAAAAATGACTAAACTCTTGAGAAGATAGCATTCATATATTTGAATCTAAAAAAGAGAAAAAGCAAATTAAGAGCCTCAGAACTCGAGAAAAAAAGCCAAACCCATGAAGGAAAACCTTCAAACCAAGCACACATTGCAAAAACAAACCAAACCCATCACCAAAAACAGAGAACCAAAAAGATTCACTTGCCTTCTGGAGAAGACGGTCATGACCCATTACAAGAACAAAATGATGCCACCAGCAAAATGCAGGGCAGCCATTATCAGAGCAGAAGGAGCAGCTGGGAATGGAGAGTGTGAAGGGACGGAGACCGACACACTTGGTTCTGCACTTCTGTAAAAGAAAGCTGGAGAGAGCACAGAAACTACTTCCTTTTTGGTAAGAGTGAACAGAACACCCCCAATGAGGAAAGAGAAGAAGCAAAGAATGCAAGGGGGGAAAAAATGAAACAACTAATAATTTTTTGCATATAAAGGTAAAAAGATGATGGGACAAATTAAGATTTGACTATTCTTTTGGAAAATGGAAAGTAGAAGGCACAGCTCCCTTGCTTTGACCACCACAGAAGCAAAGACAAAAGAAAATCGATTCATACATGCTACAGTCTCCACCTGACCTGAGTTGAATTACAGTAAAATTAATTATTGATTTTACAGAAGGAGACCCTTGAATAAAGGCTCCTTTCCATTAATATATAATAATAATAATTGAGCAGTCCATCATCGGTTTGAGTGTACAGTACTTTCGAGTTTCGAGTTTCGATTGCTCTTCGTGGAATTGTATACTGTCAAAAATAACTAACAGATAAAAAAAATTGTTTAATTTGCAAAATCGCAGTTCAAAGTAAAAAAAATTGAAATAGTGTGTTTTTGTAGGTAAGAAATATTTATTTTTTAAAATTATATCAAATTATAAAATAAATATCATTAAATGAGATAATTATTAAAATAAAAAAGCTTATAGGCTTGTTTCAATTTTAGTTGTGTAGTTTATATGATTTAAATTATATAATAATTTTTTTTTATAAAGTAATATAAGAGAAGATGTTTGTTTTACAAGTTCAACTAAAAATTAAAAGTGTGGTCTAAATAATGAAATTATTAAAGTATTATTAATGAAATATCATGGAAAATAATTTTACTAATAATATTTTAATAAATTTATAATTTAAACTATACTTCTAATTTCCAGTTTAAATTAAAAAAACACTTTTTCAAATAAAAGATAGTCATTGTCTCTTAATCTTCCTATTTATATTGAAACTTATATTTAAAACTAGGTAAGTATAAATTTCATGTTAGTGATGAAGTGTTATTTTAATTAAATCAATATCTTAGTAAAATAATTACTAATAGTTTGTAATCCATCTAAATAATTCAATGATAATTTAAAAAAAAAATTAAGAGATTTTGAATTTAAGTAGTATAGTGTGTGGGTAAAATGAATTAATGAGTGAAGAAAAGATTATTTCTCATTGATCAAATCAAGATAAAAAAAAAAGAATTACTAGGAACTCTTTTCATATAAAAATATATTAATAATAGCTCAAGATTTTCTTATTTCATCAATGCAAAATATTAAAAATCATTAAATGAAAAATAACTCTTGATATCAAGGACAAAGAATCTCATTTTCATCCAATAGTTTAAATTATGGAATTAAAGTGAAATCAAGTGCAATATAAACTACATAACATTTTCTTGGTAACTCAAGTTATAAATTGACTGTAGAATTTAACTCAAAGAATTATTAGCCCATTGACTCATTGAGTTGGTGAAGATCAGTATGATTTATACACAATTTAAACTATTATATAAAAGGTCACTCCTAATATTGAAAGTTGTCCCTTATTTGTAGTTTTTTCATTTGAATTTATATATTGTGGATGCAACAATAATATGTTTCAGTAAACATCATTCTAAATAAACTTCTTGATTTTGTTTTATTTTCATAAGTTGACCAAAAAAATATGTAAGTACTCCTCTGCCCCAACATGATTGTGTGGGATTAACAAACAAGACCTGACATGTGATAATAGGGAAGTTACGCCAACAAACAAAGCCTCCCATCAATACTTTGATACCCTTCATAGCTGAAATCTACGTGCCAATGTACAAGGAAGAAGGGTAACCATAACTTAGTCTGGGTGCATGCATTACTTATTTCTGAAGTCCTATACTAGAACTTGGCATCCAAAGCTCAAAAGCACCAGAGGCACAAGTGAAAGATGAGGAAACCTTTCCCAAATGAAGCGGGTGCGAGGCTCAGCTGCATTTCAATGTTCCAAGCTTTTCATGTCAATTTATGCACTGAAAGTTACAGCTTCGATGGACTGGACAAAACTCTTGCGGTATGGTATACAGTCCTTGCATCACCTGTATAAAGAAATTGACATCATCACTATGTTCATGTCATTCAGATACAAGGATCCTATTGTTCTCAAAGAATCAACAAAACTGAATTCAAGCTGTATGGTTATATTTAGCAGTTAATATTGGATGTGAAATTTTTGGTCTGGTTCTCCATACTCTCACCTACAGATTTTATGATAGGATCATCTTGGTTCCATTGTGCCTCAGAAGTGACAAAAGGCTCATGTCTCCATTCTCCAAATGGTACAGGAAATAATGTGTATGTATTTTATTTCTCAGAGACTCTATTCAACAGCCTAGAAATTAAAGGGACTCCAAGTAATAGCATAGATTATCAGAAAAGGATATGGTACTTCACAATCATACCTGCAATGGAATCCAAGTTAAATTGGGAAGGCACATTGCTTTCAGCCTCAACAGCAGCTTTGGCTGCTGCAATACCTACAGCTATACTCTGCATCAAATCTAAACCTATACATATAGAAGCAAGAGTCCCACCAACCAAGCAATCACCAGCTCCAGTAAGCCTAACTACTGATGCAGGGAGTGCAGGAAAATGGACAACCAGAAAATTAGAGATTCCGTCATGAATTGTACCACTAGAATACCAATCTGGAGGAGAGCTTGATGTCATACTTTCAAATAACTTTCTACTGAACGCAGATGACTTTATCTTTCCTTGACCAATCCTCAAGATGTTTGGCTCTCCTTTAAAACATAAGAACACTCCATCTGAACCTAGAGTTAGAACAACAATTTTGATACCCTTCTCCAACAAAACCAAGATTGGAGGTTTCAGCAAGTGGAGCAAGGCATCTCTAGAATACATCTTCTTTTCAATTGGGTGAAAAACATCTTCAGAAGACAGAGCATTTGCCATTGCTATTAACTCATCTTCATTGGGTGAAGTAAAAGTCACCTGCAAAAGCAAATAAATTAGAAAGAGTGCTAAGATGGAAAATGGACAAGCATGGAAAAACTAAAGCTTACTCAATATCAGTGATTGATAAAATGATCATATCCACACAAATATGACACTTACATACTTAGCAATGGTAGCAATTCTTTTTGATTTTGCAATTGATACAGGTTCAAACCACACTGGCACATTAGAATCTACTGCCACTGGAAAATTAAAAAGAGAAAAAGAAAGCAGCAGGTGAGCTTATATTGATAGAAAGACACAGACTCTAAAGTGATCTGTTAAAAGTACTTTGGCAAGCAGCTTCTAAAGCAGGAAGACTCAAGTTTGCATCAACCATCAATACAGGAGCAGAATGTATGTTGGGCCTGAATTGCTGAATCCACTGAGGTGTTAGATACCTTTCCTGTGTCAGAGTCACATCAATAACATCTTTAAATCCTAATAGTACTCCATTTTAGTTTATACAAGCTGGCAACTACTTCTAGTCATATATAAGACAAACTAATAGTCCAAAAATTGCTTACAATTGAATCAAGACTTGCAACACCAGCTGCCACTTCTCCACCAACATCAAGTATATGACATACAGTAGCAGTCTTGATATCTTGGTGCTTCCTTATGCCTGCATCAAAGCTGGTATTTTGTAAGAATGAAGTAGCACAGTTTTTGGTTCATCTTTAATAATACTGCACTTATCATTATGTTTCCATTTGATTGTCTAGAAGGAATTCAGAAAGAAGCCAAGCTGAAGAGGCTTATCCAAAAAGCCTGCACCTTTTCAACTTAAACAATTTGTTTCCAACAGGGTACAAAGTCATTGGCGTTGTAAAAGGGTAGAATCCTGATTAGAACAAAAGTTGACTAAATCAGGAGCTAAAGTTATCAGTAAAAAAATCAACCTTCTGTTGACAGCTTTGTGGATTCCCAATGCTCCAACAACAACTTTCCTAGTAAAAAGAAGAGAGAGACCAGTTCAAAAGAATGATATTGAATTTGCGCAAAATGTGATGATCATGAGAAAACAAATATTTTTAATACAACTACTTAAAAATCTATGCTGCTAAATGTATAAGCATCTGAGCAATCAAGTCCAGAATACCTGAGGTTCAAGCATGATTGCAAGAATATAACAGAGAATGCAGATATTTGCCTGATATTCAATATAAAACTAGACAAAAATAACCATAACCAAGATTTAGATGGATATCTGAACTTATGTCCATTTTTTTTTGAAAAAAGACATCATGCATTACATATAATATGAAACCAATTTCTATGCATGCATTCACCTATAAATGAATAGGAGCAAATGGTGAGGAATCAAAGGGAAGAGATCTGATTTGCCTCTGTGAATTGAATGTCTTCCAGTTTACCATGTTATACGTGCACAGAACAACCAATATTTTTGTGACTAGCTTGACCATTTCCCCAGTGAATTTATTAATGATTGAATAAATCTGGCTTTGACAAACAGTAAAGTTCTTAATTCAGCAATATATCAATAAAAGATGAGGAAAATTCTTAAGAAAAAGGTAGAAGATGGAAGCCTTCTGACATCTGTAAACGTAATAATGGTTAAGGATTGTTGACATAAGTGTCATAAGCTCCCCTGAGCCTTATATTTTTCTTAGCGGGAGGCAAATCCCTGATAGGTGCAATAACTAGAAAAATGCAACTAGACTTAATCATATTGCAATTGCAGGAAAACTAGAGAATAATGGAACCTGAGTTAAGATTTCATGCGGCATAAAAAAGTCCCAAGTAACATTATAGTGAAAAAGAGAAAGGTTAAACCAAATAACCTGCCACATCAAATCCCACAGCACTGATCATAAAAGGCTTGGCTCCAAGCTTCCACATACATTCAGCAATATTCCTTGCAACCCCTCCTAGCACATAATACACCTGAATTATCCCAAAGCATAAGTGACCCGAGTTGCAATTCTAAAACATAACAACAGAATTCACAATACCCTTAAAGAAAAGCACCCAACCCAAGCTACAGAATCATATAAAAGCTATACTGATTAACAAAAGTTCCTGTCTTTTCCTCAAAAACATAAGTCTAATGCATAAAATAAAAGAAAATTAACAATTCCCATATGGGTTTTGGTTCATTTGTTCTAAAAATGGAGGACTGGCGCATAAGCTATTGCAGATGCTAAAGAGAAGTGGGAGATGGTATGTGACCTTTCCGGGACAGGTGGATCTAGGGTGTGGAGGTATTGAAGAAGTTGCTTGAATGTCCAAAACCATGCCCCCAATAATCACAGGCTCTGCCTCCGCCTTCCCCTCCGCCATTGATCTTTTGCTTCAACTTGCTTCCAGTCTCCAGGAGAGTGCAAGCTTGGTTGAGGAAGATGATGCTTTTTTTTTTTTTCCTTTTTTCGGCCTTCGAGGAAAATGATGCTTAGAAAGCTGAAATTCCATTGGACTCTTGTCTTGTAGACTGTTGAAATTGACCCAGATTTTGTTTTATGGGCTTCCGTATTTGCGCTTCCATTTGTGTTTAGGTTTGTTTTCCACACAGCTTTCTCTCAGATTGCCTCCTAAGAGTGTTAGTAATTTATTATAATTAGATTAATTTTAATTGAAATTTTTTATAAATTTATAGTGATATTAAGTATATAATATACTTTTAAAAAATTAATAAATCACAACATAATTTTTTTTCTTCATAAAATATTAAAAAGTATATTCATAATAATTCTAAATGCAACCTTCAAGTTGGGCAGTTGGGTTTAAGTCAGACCCAGAATCACAAACAAATTTGGGCCAAAACTTATAATTGGCAGTTTCTTTTTATTTTTTTAACGTCTCAGAGTTCCTAGTTGAGCCTGGACATTTTGTAACCAAATAAAGTGCCCCAATCTTTTTTTTCAGCTGTGTCATGGATTTTGTTCCAAACAAAAAAAAATTTGTGTCATGGAATTTTTTATTTTTTATTTATCGATCATGGAATTTTTTATTGAATGGATATATATATTTTGATATTGATTGCACAGTAGAAGACAACTTTTCTCTATCATTTGTTTCATCTTACCTGCATGCCATACCATTTGAACTCATGACTTCTTACTTCCAACAAAAAAACATTACTATTAAATTATTTAGGTATTTAATGATATATATAATTTTTGAAAATTGTCTCGAGATATAAAAAGTGCTCTTGACACTCTAATTGTTAAAAAATAATAATACTTTGTTATATTTTCCTTCTTTCAAAACTCAAGCTATAAGAAAACTTTATCACATATGTTAATTAACGCTAACATGTCATCAATGTGATAAGGGTAAAGGTAAAGTCATATCCTTCATCCATCTTAAGAAAACAGTTACAAAAAAAAAATATAAATATATCTTAAAGAATCAACATTTTCAAACTCAAAGTAGTGTTCAAAATATTGGTAGTATATTAATTTAGTTATAACCTTCCAAGATAAAGTGAGGAAGGCATATCTATGAGGTTACATATTTTTGGATCCTACCAAGCAAGAGAAAATAACCAGCCCTTGCCTTCCTCGAAAAGCTGCTTTTTGAACGATAAAATGGACAAATGTGGCAGCGGTTCCCAATTTAATTGACAAGTGAAAAAGGAAAAGAGAAAAAGTACCTTATTTAACCCCTTTTCATACTTGGAAATCTATACACATCTACTTAGCACTAATTCCTTTAGTCAATTTAATAATATCATATGGTAGGATTCGTGGCCCAATTGATTTTTCAATCACATTTTTTTTGCCCAAAATAAATCATATTTTTTAATTATTTTTTTGGGCACAAGAAAAGTGGATTATCCACCAAGGCCATTAATCATAATCTTAATTATGAACACGGAGTTCGTGTTAATGTGGGGAAGGTGTATAAAAGGAAAAAAGGAAAATAATTCCTTATCGAATTGCCCGCACTATAAAGCTATTCTTTACTTTAACCTTTAAGCACTTTTCATGATTGCCCTGAAGAAAAATCTTTCAAATGACTAAAACAAGGAAAATAATATATATTTTTGGTGAAAAGAGGAAGTAGTATTAAACAGAAGAGCTAAACTACATATCTGGAATATTCAATCCCATACATATCACTAGCCAAATATACATCCAGGCCCCGGGGGCAATCCTCATAAATAGCAAAATTAGCAGACAGAGAATGGCCTAATTTAGACAAAAAGTCCGCACACATATTGGATTCCCTGAAGATGTGCTGGATGTCAACATCTGGGATCCTACTGAGCAGCTCCCTATAGTCCAAAATAAGAGCAGTAAGAGGGTGGTGGTTGCAGTAATCCTTGGAAAGGAGATTAAAGGCAGTAAGAGAATCAATCTCAATGCATAAATGATTAAATCCGTTGTCAACAGCTAATTGAAGGCCGTCCCGTAGGGCCCAAAGCTCAGCAGCTAAATAAGAAGTGTGACTGATATTTCTTGCTTAGCCAAGCATCCACTTTCCCTCATGATCCCTAAATAAGCCTCCAGAAGCAACCATACCAGAACTGCTAATGAAGGAGCCATCGGTGTTAAGTTTAATGAATCTTGGAGGGTGCTTAGTCCATTTAACAACAATGGACATTGTCTGACGAGTATATTGAGGTGGGGAGTAGCAAGCCCAAAATTTTGCTGCTTTGTTCTTGATAATGGAAATACTACTTAAAGGATTAAAAATATCAAGTTTGTACAACTTGCAATTCCTTTAACTCCAAATTGTCCAAATTGTAAAAGAGAAGAGGGTACCCCATGGTATAGATAAGAAGGAGCTACTGTCCTTCCTACCACAGTTAAATCGCATTCTAATGGTAGAGTCCTTTTCCCTAAAGCTACGGTGTATCACCTCCCTAGGCTCATCTCTGACCATAACCCCATCCTACTGAACCTTACTCCTCAAATCCCGTCTATTGGTAAAAGACCTTTTCGATTTGAGAAATTCTAGTTTGATCACCCCAAATTTATTGATATTGTTGATAGGATTTCGTCTCACCCTCACAATAATACCTCTTCCTGTTTGCCTCTACTATGGCCAGTATCAAGTTATGGAGTCGTGATACTTTTGGAAATTTGTTCAAACATAAAAAGGTCATCCTTGCTTGTTTGGAAGGTATCCATAAGTCACTCTCCATAAATCATAACAACTTTCTCTTTTGCTTGGAGAAAGATTTGTCCCAGGAATACTCTAAAATTCTTAAATGTGAAGCTGATCTATGGTTCCTGAAGTCCAGATCTGATTGGATTGTGGATGGGGATAAAAACTCTCAGTTCTTTCACATTACTACCATGAAACATAGATCCATGAATAGAATCCATGGGTTGAAAAACCCAGAAGGGGAATGGATTACAGACTCTTTGCAATTAAAAAATATGGTGACAAACTATTTTTCTACTCTTTTTTCGGCACCCGTTACCCATTCCTTTCATGATTCTTATGCTTTGATTCAAACCATCACTCCCCAACCTCTGGACCTCTCTGATAGTTTGGCTATGCCCCCATCATTAACTGAAATTAGGAAGGCAGTGTATTCCATGAAGGCCTTTAAAGCCCCTGGCCCGGATGGTACTCACCCCTTCTTTTATCAAAAAATGTGGCACTTTGTCAAGGATGCCATCCTCCTTGACATCCAACAAATTTTTACTATAGGTATTGTCCCTCCTAAATGGAATGAATGCTTGATCACTTTGATTCCAGAGGTGAGAAGTCCTGAAACTATTAATCAGTTCAGGCCTAATGGTTTGTGCAATGTTAACTATAAGATTGTCCCTAAGATCATTGTCCATTCGCTCAAACCCTTTTTGGATTCCATCATATCTCCTTGCCAAGCTAGCTTTGTGCCTGGGAGACGTGGATCTGACAATATTCTCATCCTTAAAGAACTTGTTTACTCTTTTAATAGGAAGACTAGCAAAAAGGGTGGAATATTATCAAATTGGACTTGGAGAAAGCATATGATAGGCTTGAATGGAGTTTTATTTGGGAGACTCTAATTTTCTTCCAATTTCCTCCTACTCTCATTTCGCTTATCATGTCCTGCATCTCCTCAACCAGCATGTCTATTCTTGTCAACGGACAGGCCACAAATCGGTTCCTCCCTCTGGGGTGTCCGACAGGGAGATCCTTTATCCCCTTACCTGTTAATTCTTTATATGGAATTTCTATCCTTAAGATTTACTGATGGTATTAACTCTGGTTTGTGGAAAGGATGTAAGGCTGGTCAAAGCGACCCCATTCTTTCCCATCTCTTTTTTACAAATGATCTCATTTTTGTTGGGGAAGTATCCCAACAAAACTGCATGTTCTTTTCTTCTGTTATGCAAGGGTTCTGTGCGAGATCTGGACTCATGATTAATTATGAGAAGTCTAAAGTCCTCTTCTCCAAAAATGTTCATGCTCAGACTAGGGATACCTTAGGCTTTTTGTTGGGTCTCCCACAAACCTCATCTCTTGGTAAGTATCTTGGTATTCCTATTACTGCTAAGAAGCTTAAGCAAGCTTATTACAATTTTATCCTGGATAAAGTTTGCTCTAAGCTTGCTAGTTGGAAAGTTAAGTTCTTCACTATGGCTGGTAGGACTACTCTTGTCAAATCTGTCATTGTTGCCATCCCAAATTATTACTTGTAGTCCCAAATGCTCCCTTCTTCCACATTGAAGGAATTGGACAAAATCTCATGTAACTGTCTATCGGGCTCTACTGAAAACCAACCTAGATTGCATCTTGTTTCTTGGGAAAAAGTTACCCAACCTAAATCTTATGGTGAGCTGGGTATTAAGGCAGCTAAGGAAGCTAATCTGGCTGCCATGTGCAAGCTTAATTGGCGTATTCATATTGAAAAGCACGCCTTGTGGAACTGTGTACTGTCTACCAAATATCTAATTAACAATTGCAAGTTCCAATATCCGAATCACTGCTCCCCTGTCTTGCATAATATTAAAAAAGGTAGCACTCTATTTTATGAAGGCCTCAAGTGGATTCCTAGAGACGGTAGACTTATCTCCTTTTGGAATGACACTCGAGTTGGTCATAGGCCTCTTAACTCCATTTTAAGTGGCCCTCTGCTTGAAACAGACTGTTCTTTGCTTGTTTTTGATTGTTTTTCACAAGGTCAGATTATTGACAGAGCTATTTCTTATGACTTGCCGCCTTCTATTGTTCAGGCCATTAAAGCTATCCCTTTATCTTCGTTTGATTCTGGATTTGATCAATTCGCATGGAAATCTAGTGCCAATGGCTCCTTCTCTTCCTCCTCAGCTTACTGCTTAGCCAAGAAGACTTCTCTTGGCCCGGATCAAGACTGGTCTTGGATTTGGAAGGTTCACACCTTACCAAAAATCCAGTACTTCATCTGGTTGCTTTGCCACAATAGGATTAAAACTTTGGGGTATCTTAATAGTATTGGTATTACCAACTTCTCTAATTGTCCTCTCTGTTCTCTTAATACTGAAACTGCAGCTCACTTGGTCCGAGATTGTCCTATTTCTTGTGCTATTTGGGATGCATTGTTTCCGGGATTGACTTCCCATCGGATTATGGATTCCCCATTGGTTGGAAAATAATATATATAGGAATTATGAATGGTACATCTTTTAGTTTAATATATTTTATAATATATTTATTAAAAAATTATTATTTTTAAACTTAAATGAAGGGTGAAGAACTGAAAATCAAGAGGCATGCATGCATTTTATCGAAGGTAATAATTGGTACATCTTTTAGTTTAATATATTTTATAATATATTTATTAAAAAATTATTATTTTTAAACTTAAATTAAATATAAAAAAACTAAAAGCTATAGATTTTAATAAATGAACTTGTAGGTATTATGAGGTATATATTAAACCGAAAGGGATACCAATCATTTTCCTATATATAACCTTAGAAAATATAGGAGTTTTGTCAAGATGGTACTCAATAACATAGAAGTCTTAATTTGGGATTAAAGTCAAAGGTTCAAATCTTTACAATGTGTTAAAAAAAAGTGATATTACCTTAGGTTGATATTACTTATCACTATACCTATTTTTAGTTAATAATCATTTATGGTATATAAATAATCATATTTATTTTTAAATATATATTTTTATTACGTATTTTTATTTAATAAAAAAATAATTTAAAAATACGTATAGTGACAAGTAAAATAGAAATAATTATAATGTCACGTATTATTATAAGGTTACAATTATAATATATTATTATATAATTAACTCTTTACATTCAAGGACCTATTCACTCACTTAATGATATATAATGATTTTAAACTTACAAGACTACCTGTAAAGCTATAAATGAGTGGAATAGAGTTGAGTTCCTAAATTTGAACTTGAGCTTGATGCTATAGTAATAAGTTGAATCAAGTTTGAGTTTTTTATGAGTTCAAATGTATTGAGTTTGAAGTTGACTCACAAACTTAAACTTGACTCGAGATTTTGAGCTTAACTCATGAACTCTATTGATTATTCAATACAGTTTAATCGAGTCAAGTTGAGTCAAGTTAACTTTTAGGTTTAACTTAAACTTGAACTGACTCAATTTTTCCAACTCATATTTGGGCTCAAAGTTGATCTCGAGTTGAATTGAGCTCAACTTGAGTTGGAACCTAGTAGTTCAATTCATTTATAACCCTATCTATATCATAACTATATCATAGCCACTAAAATACGTCAACGGTTAGTGTGATAAGAAAATCTCCTGTTAATCAATTTAAAGAAAACTTGAAAAATTTAATTAACACTATATTACTTTACTTATTGCAAATAGATTTAGAGATTTTGATGCTATTCGGAATAGTTTGTTAAGTTTGTTGTTCCTTATGTATGTAACAGAATAAACCTAATCCATCTTTCTCTCTCTCTCTCTCTCTCTCCCATCCCCCCACTCCTCTCCGCTCTCTCTTGCTTACCCCGATTTGAAAGAAAAACTATGGAGAAAAAAAATGAAAAAAATTCACTACTAGAAGAGTCCAAAAAATTTTATATCAAGCTTAGAAATTCTCAATAACTTATGAGAATCTATGTCATAAACCACCTATGGGTCAAATGACCCTTCTCGACAAATTAATTGAATAGAAGAAATCTCCACCATCTTGATACCTAAGATTGAAATGACCTTTCTAATTGAGGGTGAGCTTAAACCACACACACCACTAGATTTTGCTAGTGTAGGTCCCTTAGAAATCAAGTTAGTCAAGTCCTACTCAAATTAGGGCTCCGAATTTAACTTGAATTCTCAATTGAGAACTTGAAAATATTTCTCCTTTTTTCAATATTTCCATTTTTTCCCAAAACTTCAAGGCACATTCGAAGAAGGATGGAATTTGCTATTTTGTAGGTTTAATTTTTAATCCTTTATTTTTTTTTTCTTTTGCTATGTTCAATTAGGTCCTCAGGTTTAGTTTTTGTTCTATTCTAGTCCTATTTGAGTTTTGTCCCTTTTCTATTTTGTTTAGGTTGAGTCCTTATTAGGTTTGGTCTTGTTTAATTTTAATTGGGTTTTGCTTATTGCCCAATGATTTCCCTAGGGCTACTTTTATGAGACTTGTCCTTTTATATATATGTCACTAAATTGATTGAGAAGGAATTGACAGTTTGTGCTATTTTTAAAATTTTTTTAATTTATGAATGTAAAAATTATATTAATCAAGTCTAACTGGCACTATATTTCTTTAGTTGATGTAACCTTGCTTGATGTAACCTTACATTTCTAACAATAAAATTGGTCTACTTTTTCATAAACGAAAAAGAATAGAATAATAAAATTTGTGGAGCAAATTTATGTATATATATATAGTATAGAGTAGGATATTAATTTTTATCATCTTTTTGGAGCCTAACCTCTCCATGGGCATGTGCAATTTGCAATATAGTTAATTTCGTGAAGATCCTTGATATGATGCTTAATTATGTGGTACGTAATTTGTGATGGTGCTAGTAATAACTTTGATTGTGAAAAGCATTACAATGAAATATGATAAAGCTAACCACACTGTGGAACCCAAAAAGTTAAGCAATGGGAAGTGAGGTAGAGCTGTAGGGGGTGTGCGGACTTGTGTTTGTTCGTTGTCAGTCCTTTAATTTAGCCATATATTGTTGTTCTTGAAATCTTTAACGAATTTGAGACATGTAATGATGATAATTGACAACACTATTTTTTGATTGTCAAACATAAGGACACAAGAGGGGTCGAATCTCAAACATTTTCCGGTTGATGTGGGTTGGCTTGACATTTTCAAATTAAGGACATGATTTTCATTCTTCACCTTGATATAGATTGGTTAGCTAGAAATGAAAGGACTTGAATGAATCATTCAAGAAAATTATAGGCCACATTTTCATGGATGTTCAAAAGAAAAAAAAAAAAAGGGAGAAAATTATTCGCCACAATTAATTAGGGATATGTATGTCATTAGATAGGCCATTAAAATGCCTTTCTGTGACATTTTTCTACATCAAACCGTGAAATGTACAATCATTTCTTTTTTGAAATTTTTCTTTATTTATCTTGAGTATTAATTATTGAATAGTTTATTTCTTAATAGTTAAACCAAACAAGATCTTATAGCTGTGTTTTTTTCAATGAATAGGTCATAGTTGTGATAGTGCATTCTCCAAGATAGCTTCTTCTTCTTCTTCTTCTTCTTTCCCTTTCCTTTTTTTTTTTTTTTTTTTTTGAGAATCAAAATCTTTGGATATTCTCGTTTTGCACTTGTGTGGACTCTATGGGGGAGGTGGGGTTTCAAATCATATCTGTTTTAAATTAAGATTGATTGGTGAGGATAGAATGTTTGAATTTTTATCATGATGAGGTCTTATCATGGGATTATTGGTAGAAGTGGAGCTATTAACTTTTCTTTCTCTGATTGGTTTGGAACTGTAATCCTTGGAGGTGAGTAAATTCTTTGACAATTTGTGGCTGACTCTTGCCCTGCTCCAAATGCCCTGTTTTTGGACGAATGAACTGAGTTTTTTAATTTATATGTTTGGATTATTGGGGGGAGACGGGTGAAATTTTTTTTTTAATTAATCAAATTATAATATTTTTTGTATGTTATAATTTAATTAGTAAAAAAAATTTCTCCTTTCTCCTTTCTCCTCTTAGCTTTCCTTTATTTAATTTTTTATTTCAATCCAAACATACAATTAAAGATACAAAATTTATGAAAATTAAAATTAAAAGTTAAAAATGATAACTACATATTAAATGGAGCTTTAGATGCCAAGGTTCTAGTTTTGATAAAAAGTGCTCCAGATCCGTGCGACACGGATCTACTAAGTTATCCCTAGTTTACGAAGTAGCAATTTTAACATGGGTATTCATCCCTTCGAGGATGACTGTGGGAGTTTCATCGGTTGCCTCCTTCCTTCCTAGTTCCGGTTTATGGGGCATATTTTATTTGTACCCTATTCTTGCTCTCGTGGTTGTTTGCCTGATTGATGTAGATGATGGATAGGCAGCAAAGTGGAAGTGGATTGATGGTGATCTACACAGGGTTGGTCCTGGGGAGTGGGAAAGATTGGCAGGTGGTGCATTTTTGGGACTATTTAATTGGAATTTTAGTTGAGATGCTATGTGGCGGAGTGGAGTTAGGATTAGATTTTGGATACTCAATTGTTGAGGGGAGAAGGTACTCCAAGAGTCAGGTGGCAATGCAAAAGTTTTTTGGAATTTTAGTCTTAGTAATGGTCCTATATAGGATATGGTGGCTTCGCAATAAAAAATATACTATTTTATAGTGTTTTGCAGCTTTATTGTTGCAGTTGAGTGGTGGTGTTGAAGGTTGTGGCTTGGATCAAGGCAAAGGACATAATGATGTTTAGATGTCTAGCGGTTGGCATTTCTTTGATGGCTGTAAAACTATAGTTTGGTATGATAGTGTAACTAACTCTTGAGAGGTAAGAGGATAATATGGATTAAATTTTTTTTTATTATCCTTTATTAATTGTATCTATTATTCGAGTTACTTTATATCTCAATTAATAAAATTTTTAATGACAACAAATAAGAATTATAAATTATTAGGTTGCTTCTATATGAAGGTTAATATTTTTTTGCAATCACTTTACTGCTTTTATTTTTATAAGATTATGCCTATGTTTTCTCAGAAAACAAAAAATACCTCACAAAGTAAAACGCATAGTAAGAGTGGTATTATATGAATAATTTTTTATATTACTTTAATATATTATTAAATGAGTAGATGTATTCAATATCATGAAACTCATATAAATAAAAAAAACTAATCATATAAATGATACTTCAAATTATATAAAAAAATAAAACAAAAAAATTATCACAAAATCATTTCCGTGCATAATAATTCATATGTTCCACTCAAGTGATAAGGATTTAATAATAACTACGTCATGTTATGTTATAAAATTTTACTGTTCTCAATAGATTTTAATTACCAACGTATGATTTTGAGTAGCTGGGGTTTTTTTTTTTTTTTAATGAAAACTCTAATACAACGCTCGTTGCATACTTGCATTTCTCACTTTACTTACTAAACCTTATCCATATTTTTTTTAACCGTACTTGAAATTAACCTTATCCATATTGATGCATTGAAATATGAAAGGTTTAATTAGTCTAATAGCCTGACGTGTTGTCAAAGTGGAAATTAATTAACTTTTGAAAATGCAACCGCAGCCTTGGCTGCATTGGTCAAGATTAATTATCCATGGCTACACTGGCGGAACCAGAATTATATGTAGGGTAGGGCGTTATGACAATCGAACTAAAATTATCAATTTTTTAGTGGTGATCTTATTGTGTTTATTTGGAAAAAAGAACATTTCAAATTAACAATAAAAAAAAATATATAAATAACTAGTAAATAATGATAATTATTAGTATATTTTTTTACTCTTTTACTAATCTCTAAAGTAATTGTATAGGGTTATCATGCTTATAGGTTTTTTAATCATTATTAGTAATTCTTCAAAAAAAATAGATAAGTTGAAAAAACTAATGAGTTGTCCAACAATTACATGTTAAACAATGATTTATTTTGAAAGACTTTAGAAAAATTAACAAACTTATTTTTAAGGTATAATTATTTACACTATGAATTTATTATTTTATAATTATTTTTTTCTTTATGCTTAAGAATTTGAACAAATTAAAGAGCATTATTTCTCAAATAATATACAAATCTATTTTTTCTTAAGTCCTAAATTGTGTCCATTTTATTAAGATTAATTGTGTTAATGTAATTTGATCTCTTGGTGGTTGCTATATGTGCACCAATTTGTATATTTTTGCATTAGTCAGCAAATTCTCCAAGGCCTGGTACTAATAGTATGCTGGAATAGAAAAATGAAGATGGACATAAGGGAAACAGAGAGAGAAAGTGTATTTTAAGATTTTAATCTTTTTAATATTTTGAAATTATTACTTACACTAGATAAAGCACCAATGAAGTTTTTTTTTGTAAATAATTTTCACATTATGGAATATTGAAGTCCACTAATAGGCCAAAAAATATCAGAATTGAAATCCTTAGTTAAAAGCAATTAAAATTTGTTCCTTTAAGTATTAAATTCATAAAACTTAATGTCTTATTTAAGTATTTATACAAATTACCGAGATAAAGTATACCCTTTTTTTAGCTTGCTTTTTCTTAATATTTTTAGGGGGAGGGGTAGGACCCAGGCCCTACCCCTTGGTGGTTCCGCCACTGCATGGCTATGACCATAGTTCTGTTTTCATAAAAAATTATAAACATTTTACATCCTTAATTTTGTAAAAATATTTTTTTATGTGAAACTGTTAATAGTTGAAGTAACTTTTATCATTAATATAAAAGACTTTACACCCTCAAAATAAAAGTTTAAACCTATGTTTTCACTTTTCATCTTTTTTTCATAGAGGATTGAACCACTTGCTCTATACAAAATCCTGAAAATGAAGAAAAGACCAATTATACTTTTCCATAAAGTCGAATCAAGGAGAAAATTCTTTGTCTCTAAGTCTCAAAGTTGGCGTTCGGGTTTTATAAAGAGATAAGACAGATTGAAAAATTGGTAGTTTCTTTTACTTCAAAACTTGTGAGAATAGAATGGTTTATAAGTATACGTATGACTTTAGTTAGGCAAAAAGTATGAATACTCTGTTACCGAAAAGAAGAGACAAATTGAAAAAATGATGTACCCCTATGAACATATATGCCTAGCTAGCCATGTGCATGCGACCAAATAAATAAAAAAATCAAAATATCTACTAAATCTGCTACCCAAAAAAAAAAAAAAAATCCAAACAAGTCATGCATATCTTTGGAGGGGCTCTGGTTCCCACAACACACAGACAATGAAGTCAATTGCCAACATGCAAGGAAAACTAAAATGGAAAGAATATGACATTGGAGAAGGCTGCTACCTTCAGTGTCCCTAGCTAGCTATCTTGGAAGTTTGATGGGATAAGGGAAAAGGTGGATGCACCATTCAAAATCAAAGAAAATGACTAGTGAGTTTTGTTTTTGAGGTTATATGATCCAGCTGTCGGTTTCTTTTGGACATGTGTGTTGAATTTTGAGAGGTTCATTCAATGAAAATGTCTTTGGATGCATAATTTTTGTGGACACAAGCTAGCGCGAAGATTAGACATATATTTATTCTCCAGGTCAAATTTAACTTTTGGATTCATTATTCATTACGTTTGATATGGAAATAAGGATCTAATT